TCAGTCTTATCTCCGGATTTGTAACGTGGTATGATTAAGTCTTCAGGCTATTGCGTGTTCGGCTGGGTTTGGTCCAGATACTCCACAATTATAACAAAATTAATAATCCCAATATGGACGATATAGATCCAGTAGTTTTACCAAGCGTAGAACTCAATAAGAATGTCGCAATTGTCTATAAACGTAGATGGTATGCAATTAATATTTCATTCAACATATTAGCAGACAGGGCAGAACGATGCAGACGTGAATTAGAGTGTATTTGTTGAGGAGAATTAACAGTGGCACGGTATGTTGTACTCAAAACGGAAGGAAGGAGTGTTACAAGCGTTCAAAGTAATACAGTTAAACAACAAGTACAATTGTTTAATGCTTAATGTACAGAATATGAAAATACATGCGAAAACTATGAAAAATTATTTACAAAATAGGTTTTAAGGTTCTATCTCCACAACCTTGACTATTTTTTTATATGAGCGTATGTGCATGCACCCTTCTTATCCTACCTATCACATGTTTGTCATTCATTTTAGTCTGACTAGAAATGTTGATTAATGCTTGCTTATAACGAGTTGGCTTACCAGCCATCTCCCATGTATGTTACTTTTTCTTCGCTCGCTAACATTTACTCATGTTCTCACTGCCTTCTAGCCCATGTTATTTATCAATAAAAATGTAGTTGCTGCTTCCCTTTGTCTTCTGATATTATACACCGTTCAGATTGTTATAATAACGGTTATCAAGATGATCGATTAACGAAGCACTACACTACAGAGCGACAACAGTCAAGTCCTTGGCCATTATGTTAGTTTTCATAGTTTTTTATGGGGATATGAACTGTCAGCGGTCCTATATTCACCGTCCCGTATAGCTTTTCATATTTTCTTATCGTGAGCAAATGACAAGGTCGACAATGATTGTAAAATATAAAAATCATTCCCATCTGACAGGTTGCAGTTCATAGGACAACTATCTTTTTTCAAGCCTGAAAACGTTGAAGGGTTCATAGGGCAAGCAAAACATTACTGAGCAAAAGTCAAGTCATTCATTGAAATAAATCTTTCTGTATCCCAAAATAATGAGCACTGAGGGACAAGTCGTTCATGGAATCCAGTTGAGGACAATGACAACTTACAAGAGTTCTCGAAAGAATGTCATGGGACTGGCATATTCAGCAACCAGTTGTCCTTGTATATTCCATCATTTTCTCCCTACTGTAGTGTAAGTAAGTTCACAAAATAAGTAGTTCTGTAGGCAATCGACAATGATGCTGACCACATTCGTTTTGTCTGACATACCCTAGATGAAGACGTTTGGTCGAGCATCTGCATCAGGTCACCAATGTGTACGCCGTGCTGCGCAACCCTCGCGAAAAATTGTCGGCCTAACTAGAAATCTCGATATGTCAACTACCTTCCAATTATATCTTCAAACCTCTTCACTCCTGTCTTCCGTTCTGACTGAGAATCCTCAAATGAAATGTTATAAACAACAGCGTTGTCAAGCCCTATATATGTGTCATGTTTAGTTTTTAAATAAATCACTTTTGTGGTTGTAGGATCATTTTGGTGTGCATACGGCTACATATGTATGGATATCACCTTACGCATACATTCAGTGATGTAAAATGTCTTTGTTCCCCCTATCTATTTACGATATCGCCCCCATTGATCTCTCTATCCGGGTGTATTTAATTTATCTTTTGATTTCCGAATCGTAATAAATTCTTTGAAGGCACTGAGGTTTGGAATATGGTGTCATCCTTTCTTTCCTTTAAATTTTAATTTCTCACGGCTGCCATTTTGAGAGACTTTGTTGTTAATTGTACCTAGTAGATTTGAATTTATTTATGATTGATAAATACCTTATTTTCCCATTTCATAGGGGGATTTATAACATCAAACAGGTATCCAGTTGCACTCTTTCTTGAATTTCTTGAGTGAATAATGCTTATAGTTTATTCTTCGATTATGTAACGATTTTATTAGTCATATCCTTATCCTTTACGGACATGATCTTGTTCCCGTTTTTCTAGTAATTGTTTCGTACTTCCAATGCTTCAGTCGCCAAATATTTTATTGCTTTCTACATAAATCACTATTGCATTAGGCAAAAGTACCCACTGTTTGTTTCGTGCTTATATTTAATTATTTCGTATTACAAGTTTGCGATATTATGTGCAGTTCTTTATGATTGCTTACTATCGAATTTCGAGATATTTAAAATGGGATGTATCAACAAGGCATTCCAGCCACTTGGCAATCTACCAAGTGCTGAAATGGGATCAAAAGGCTTTACGGAATCTGGAAGTGGTCAAAGTTCTGTATCAGTCTAGACTGCGCTTCGTCATGCTCCATAGATTTTCCTATATCAAATTGGTACAAATGTCAAGACATATCTACCTATTTAGAAGTCAGTGAAAATTTGCTAGTATCTAGGAGATAGGTGTTTCTGATTAATATAAGTCGCTAGTGTAGTCTGAGAACATTTCGAGATTGACTCAACCGCCTTCTGTCGCCAACCATTTATCATCATCATACAATTCTGAGATACTTTCTTTTGTTTACCTGCCAGTTTGCGTACTAAAGTAAGCGTCATAGATGCCTTTTAATATTTTGTAAATGCTGTGGACAAAGAAGTATACGTAAGTTACATCCAGTTAAGTACAATACTTCTTTGAATCTAACTCCCATCGCTTGTCTAGACAGGTTTTCGGGGTCTTTTTAGCTGTTTACGGTTACAGTTTTAGTTTTTACGTTTTAGTTTTTTTGCATGATCATAGAGAGATAAGTTTGTGAATGATAGCGATATCTGATAAAGCGCAGTTAATCGTTTAATTTGTTGAGTATAATCCATCCATTGGCGTTGAACTGCAATTATGTAGTTGATCAACTAAAGTTATCTTACGTACAGATTAAATTATTTAGGGACTCCCTACGTATTCTAACCTCGTTTTGATAGCTACATTCATCTTCATTTATATCATACCTAAAGAAAAGTTAGTAGTTTCACGTAAAGATGCCGTACTTCGGAAAACAAGAACAGTAGAGGTTATCATAGAAAATCGGGCGTCTGAAATGTTGCGAGTGGTGTGTTCAGACTGGATTTACCGTACCTGGAGCGCGTATGTTGATCCAGTTTTAATTGACTCACACACCAGTTCCACCGAAAGCTAGTTATACCTGAGTCGTCAGTAAACGAGAAATAGTGTAGGAGTACTAACCAAAATTGAAGGTTGTGGGTTTTAGTCCTTAATTTATGCGGTTTTCGTCAATGTAAACTACTAGGTAAAATTCTTGTTTTGTGAGACGATTTCACCACTTAGCCATTGATAATAACTTACCTCTTAACCCTTGTTGCCTCCAATGGAGCATAAGCCGCCGACCATCATTCTCCAACCCACTCTGTCCTAGGCCTTCTTTACTAGTTCTATCCATTTTTGTTCACTCTTCTCATGTCTGTCTTCATTTCTCGGCGTGATGTGTTCTTTGGTCTTCCCCTTCTCCTTTAGCCTTCAGGATTCCATGTGAGAGCTTGCCTTGTGACACAATTGAGTGATTTCCTCAATGTGTGTCCTATCCACTTCCAGCGCTTTTTCCAGATTCCTTCCTCCGCTAGAATCTGGTTTGTTATCTCCCACATTGGAATGTTGCTGATCGTGTCTGGCCAACGGATGCGAAGTGTCTTGCGTAGATAACTGTAAATAAACACCTGTATCTTTCGGACGATTGCTTTCGTAGTTCTCCAAGTTCCCGCCCCATACAGTAGAACTGTCTTGACATTTGCATTGAAAATTCTGATCTTGGTGTTGGTTGACAATTGTTTTGAGTTCCAGATATTATTCAGTTTTAAATATGCCGCTTCCGCTTTGCCGATCCTCGTCTTCACATCTGCATCAGATCCACCGTGTTCATCAATGATGCTGCCCAAATATGTAAAGGTTTCCACATCCCTCAAAGCTGCTCCGTCAAGTGTAATTCAATTGATACATGCTGTATAGTATCGGAGAGTCTTGATTTTCGCTTTGTTTATATTGAGACCTACTGCTGCTGAGGTTGCTGCTACGCTGGTTGTCTTCTCCTGCACTTGTTGTTGCGTGTGTGATAGAAGAGCCAGAGCATCTGCGAAGTCTAAATCGTCCAGCTGCATTCAAGCTGTCCACTGTATCCCGTGCTTCCCTCCAGATGTTGACGTCTTCATGATCCAGTCGATCACCAGGAGAAAGAGAAAGGGTGAGAGTAAGTAACTTTGCCTAACACCGGTCTTTACCTCAAATGAGTCAGTTAGTTGTCCTTCATGAACGATTTAGCAGTTTAATACATCATAGGAATGCTGTATGGTATTAACTATCTCTCAGGTACGCCGTAGTGTACAACAAGAAGCCTCCATAGTGTTGTCTTGTCCACGCTATCAAATGCTTTCTCGTAGTCAATGAAGTTGATGTAGAGTGATGAATTCCATTCGAATGATTGTACCACAATGATACGAAGAGTTGTGATCCCCTTTTTGGTATTTTCATCAGAGGTCCTTTTTTCCAGTTTGTTCATGCTTGTTTTTCATCTGAAATCTTACTAAAGAGAATGTGGAGTATCTTTGCTGCTACACATACCTCCAGTGCCTCTGCCGGAATGTTTTCTGGTTCCGCCGCTTTTTATTTGACTGATGGTCATGCTGATAATTATTAATAATATAATAGATATTATATCCTGAAAATAATAATTACAGAATTCATGTCAGTTTACAGACATAATCAGCTTGATATAGATGCATTTGGTTATGACTGCTTATTTTACTAAACATATATATTCACGGCTCAGTTATACTAACTAAATGACCGTAGGGTGGTTATTTGAGCAGCAAGTTAGTGTAAAAAAAAAGATTTATGTAGCAGTAAAATGAGGTACGATTTAACGGATATTAAGGAAGCGCTGATTTAAACATTTCTGTATAATTTATCGTAATTAAGCTTAATCCTATAGTTAACATATAAATACACCGAATTATTCATTTCTAATAATTTCAGACATTTCATCAACATACATTTGATCTGCTACACACACTGAGTGGAATTACAAACAATTAGCTATGGTTGTTGATTTTATCCAACTTCAATAAAACATACAAGAAATTAGTATTGGTGAAAATGGTAGCCATAGTTAACATACAATTATCAAATGAGGCACTTGTTAAATGTATGTCAACCTTGAACCGACATAATATATATAATGTTGCATGGAATTCGAATGAAAAGCTTTGACAAATGAAAAGTTTTAACGTATCGCAATTATATAGTACTTACCTTTAGACTCCATAGGATGACATTTGATATGTTTTCTTCCCTAAAATTACTATTCATAACAAAACAAGTGGAAGTTCACTTTTAATGACTGCCTCCATTTTGAAATCTCTTGCAAAAATGAAAGAGAGTAACAGATTGTTTTGAGTTGAATCACATTACTAAAGATTTGGAAACTACGATTCGAACAGGGTGATGGGAATGGTCATTGTAAATCTAAAGAAGTAAATTGCTTAAAACAGTAACTTAAAAAGTTTCTCTACTGTCCTATAGACGATAATACATCTGATTAAAATACTTGAGGATATAATATAGGTCAATCTTGTTGGTTTGTTTTCAACGTAGAAGTTGTACCGAAATCTATAGGTAAATTGTAGTAACAAAAACGTGAAAGCATCTCAGTTAGAACACACATATCTGAAGTCATACATATATATTAAGAAGTACATTTTACTCAAAGAACTACTCGACAATACACATAGAAAGAGGAAAATAACATGAGAAAATAAATAAACGAATAATACTAGATTTTTCTCTGTGGACATGGGCAAAACACACATCATAATAAAGCAGTAAGCTAAAATATCACAGAAAACGAATGACTATTATTTATAAAAAGCATTACAACATGAATGTATACCCTATCTAATAGGAATCCCAAATGAGTGATTTAATGTCACAAATATACCTATATGTATATACACAAATAAACAGAATTCTGGTCTATAAAACAAGAAGTACAATAAATAGCGTGTTGACATGAAAATCTTTCTAACAAAATTGAAAAAAACGAAATGAATGTTAAAAAGAGAAGAGGAATAACTTAAACAGGAAACAATAATGAATCGATAGCTATGACTTACCATCAAGTATACAAGAAATTTCCAGTGGAAGAGGTTTTTTCTGACGTAAAAACATTTTTAAAAATAAACCAAAGAAAACAACCACTACACCACATATAGCAACTGGGTGTAATTCATGAGAGAAAATAATACATGAAAGTATCATAGATAGACCAAGTCTTAATGTCATGATTAGTACAAATGTGGCCGCTCCAAATTGAGACAAAGTAAGAAAAATGAACAATTGACCAAATGCTGAACACAATGATGATGTTAAAACATCAAAAATAAATTTAGGATGATTTAATCCAAATAGCATACATGAAATTAATTCACTATGCCCAATTAATGAGATTAAAGTGAGAAATGTAGACCAAATATTGACACCAGCCATCACCTAGAAAGAAATAGACGAAAAGCTAAAAGGTAAAATTTCTTTAGTACAAAAATTAATGTACAAGTAAAAACAAGCAATTAATAACAATATTGGCTGGACGAGTTCAAAAGTTGATTTCCAATGTTTGATCAAACTGGATAGATGCTAAACATTGGTTTAGATGCTCCAAAGTGATTTCCAAAAATTATTAATACGAAGTAGAAAATTTTTTAAAAGTTTGCCAAGCAAGCAATTATGTTATGTATGTAGTTTAAAAGTGAGTTTTATTACCCCACTTTAGTTAAGAATATCAGAAAAATTGGCCAACATTATAAACGACCAAACAAAAGACGTGTTTAATAGACTGGTGGATAAACCTGGAAATGATTACTATGTTTTATACAATATATTTTAATTCCATACAAGAAATCTCTTAACAATAAACTGAAGATAAAATAAATCAACATCTCCTTTGACTTGGATTAATCGATAAATATATTTATTGAATAGAACACTTTATACTGAAGGGACTATTAGTCTTGTAAAAAAAATTAGGCTGATTTGCTTAGTAAAGCCAGCTACTAAATGAAATAAGTATCATCGACGAAACTCGTGCTACGACATGGTTACTGGGGTTGACCTTATCAGTCTAATGATAAGGTTATCGCTTCAAAGTCTATAGATTATAAGCTCGATTTGATGTGAGCTCCTATGTGTGCAATTCTGAAAAGTAAAATGATACCCGGTTTTAATTGTGTTCCAGATGATGTTAGTTGGTAACGAAAAACTGCTTTCCAACTAAAGAATGTTAAAAATTTAGCGTAATACAGTGGTTTCAGTTACTAATCCTGACAAGTAATTAAATATATATGTCGCTCTCATAATATATAGATCCGCAACAAATTTACTCTATGAGAGAGTTACTAAGATTTTTAGCTGATTATTTCATATGAAACACTTAGACCACTTGAAATAATCTACTGTTGAAACAAAGTAAAAGTATTCAAGATAATATGACTAATTAGTAAAGCAAATGCGAATGTAAGTTATAAATCAACTTCTGTACACAGAATATTTAACACTTAGGGCTTTTTAATGCTCAGTAAATTAGACGTTAACTAATCTATTATTAGTATGAATTACATTACTAGTAGAATGGTTCCATGAAAAAACCGGTTAGAATAATTTAGAATGGATTATAAACAATCCATACATCTACGTACACATGTTGACACTGATGCACTTCCCACTCTTCTATTAAGATGTATTCTCATAAAAATGTAAGGTCACAAATATTTGCATAGTTTATTGATTAAAATGTGAATAATTCATTGGTTGGCTTCAGAAGCTGATATTAGAAACTATGTCGTAAACTATCGAGATGAAAACCAGCTCTGAAATAGGATGGAAGAACATTATGGTTATAAAGAGATTACATGTCTTAGCTTGATTATATGGAAGTATGTACTTAGTAAACAAACAAATTCCATGTCAACAATCAATCCATTTAACAAACAAAGTATTAAGAAATAAATTCATTCAGTATTGTTTGTTTGAATCTCCCCATCGATTTGGCTATATTGAGGCAATACGCACAGTATGCACATATGCCAATTAGAGACTGACCAGTTGCAGTCCTAACAAATCGATGAGAAGATTCAAACAAACAATACTGAATGAATTTAAATTTCACCCCATCGCACAAGCAAGTGGCTATCAGGATTCAGTGGCCGAGTGGATAACGCGATGGCGTTTGAAGCGAGGGTACTGGGTTCGAGTCCCAGAGTGAACATAAACTCTGAGATGCAGGTACATCCAGCTGACGAGTCCCAAATAGGACGAAACGCGCTTCCTGGATTCCACTGCTAGCCACTATCCATCTCTGCTTATTAAGAAATAAGTTAATCCCTTTAACTGGGCTTACTACAATGGGTTAATTTGAAACTATCGAATAAAAATATTAGTATTGATTCGATCCGACAACTATTTTTGGGCAATTGTGTTGTTATATGACATAAATGTCGATTAATGCACATACATAACTCAGCCAATAACAAGGTTATAGTTTTATAATTGTGTATAAATAAGATTTATTGTTTAATAGAGTAGTGAGGAAAAAAAATCTTAAATCTATCGTTAATTCCTAACTATTAGGCCTTAATTATTTATTAATATTATTGACTAGTTTAAATAATATCATACTACGAAATTCTTATCTAGAAGATTAATCAATGTATTATGGAGATAGTTATTTGAATTATACTATAAAGAACATTGTATAAAGGTCTGAAACTACTTTTCAGTCTTTGTAAGAAAAATAAACATTTCAAAAAAATATTACGACCTAAACTAGGGGTTAAATCTCTGGATTCGGTTTTCAGACGCCAAAATTATAGTAAAGTTTCATTTGCTGTTTGAAACTTTAGACATAATCATTGTCATCACCATCTGTCTGTTTATATATAAGAGTTTATGGAGTGGAAAACTAGTGTGACTCAGTGGTTGAAATCTGATTATTTGAACGAAAGAATTACAAGTTCTATGATCCACAAAAGATGATAATAGAAGTTCAAGAAGCTCCTAAGTTATATTATATATTATTAACTAAATATTCACTTTACAGTCAGTGCAAAAAATTATTAACGAAAATGTATAACAGGCCATAACACCGTGTAAGTTTAATTTAACAAATTAAATGGATTGAATCATGATCATAACTTTAATAGCTCCATATGTATATTATACATTTTTAAAAAAAGACATTATGATGAAGGGAGCCTATAACATAGTTATGCAAATGTGAAAATCAAGCGGATGTAGGACGGGTATACAGAATGGTTCATATATTTAAGATTTTGCAAAAATCGATTAAGATATATCGGTTTCTAAGGATGATAAAAGTGATCTATTTGTGTACACAACTTCCTAATACCACTTCGAAGATGAATCTATCCTACCTAGGTCACAGAAAATGAAAAATGTTTACCAATAGCTCTCGCAAAATAAGTGATTTATAATCACAATTTATTCAATTGTATCACATGGAATACTCAACTACAGTATAGCAATTATTTTAAATAAAACCAAAGTTGAAGTTTATGGTAGCACATCAAACTACGTGATATTATGTTTCTTTTTATAAATACATTAATGAAGGCAAAATTGGCTAATAGTAAAAAAGATGGATCATTACTCTGAAGCAGAAAAATAAGCGAGAAACATACTTACTTATTTTGACTTGAATACTAAAAGTATTGAAATCTAATTAAAACTTTAGAAAATTGCTTTCAATCTAAATAGTTAGTAAATATTTACTGAAGTATGTACTGAATTTCTTGCCAAAGTTTGTCAGACTTAAAGTCCTTCAAACCGTTGAAGCACTCGCCATCCAGATTAAGAAGCCGGAGCTATGCGTACAGAAAAAATATCTCCAACCGCTTCTCCTCCCCCGCCAACTTCAAGGTCAATTAGTCAGTAGTAATCTTATCCTTTGAATGACCTAATTTGACTGTTGTGATTACAAACTTTCGTAGTCAAATATAATTATTTCCGTTATTTTTCACTAGTCTTTGTATTATTATTATTATTATTATTATTATATTGGCTTAACATCATACTTGATCTCCCCAATACATGATTCACTTCGCATTCATCCCACTTTATTGTCTTACTAAATTTTTACACATTATAGTCTTCCACTACACATTTGATCGAATTGTAATTGTATTATTATTTCTCTTACACTATCCGGCCTATATTTATTCGGATCATGGATCTTAAAATTTCACTTAACATAAAGGCTAATTCAAGTTAAAATTCCATATGCGTCATAGCAACATTGACAATTTTATTCTATTTTGTTTGACAATCCTAAATTCACACGCTTTAACTTTAAACGATGTTGAAAGCATGAGTCAATTGAAGCTAGACCACCAAGGAAAACCTGAAAGTACTGAACGGCTGTTTAAACGATGTACTTTGCCCTTAACCCGGACATTTTTTGGATTATTAATTTGGATATATAATTGTAGAACCTGAAGAGAACATGTTGAAAATATTCTTCGTTCAAATATTAGTCTTTTAATATGATGGGGGGTCTTTAAACAATTAAAGAGTTTTTATTATAGTTGAAAGCGTGAGTCAATTGAAGCTAGACCACCATGGAAAACCTGGAAACACTGGACGGCCGTTTCGTCCTATTATGGGACTCCAGCTATAGGATGCCAGCTCAGTGGTCTATCGGTTAAGGGCTTCGGCTCGAGACTGGTATGTCCTGGGTTCGAATCTCGCGAGAGCGGGTTCGTGGATGCGCACTGCTGAGGAGTCCCATAATAGGACGAAATGGCCGTCCAGTGTTTCCAGGTTTTCCATGGTGGTCTAGCTTCAATTGACTCACGCTTTCAACTATAATAAAATACTAAATCTCCACAAAACCCCTTCTATAATTAAAGAGTTGTTAAATTTTAAAAAAATGTGGTTACAAATGTCTCATCAATTAGCATATGGTGTTTTTATGATTGTTATTGGTGAAGAGTGATAAAGTTTTACAATTATTACGTAGTACAAATGTACACAATATCCATCATCTATGTCTGTAAGAAGATAATGAAAACTTATTTTTTAACAATGGTTATATTGTTGAAATATTCTTTGAATTAAGTTGGTGTTTCATTTGATTATATTGATGATTGTTGGTGAAAATTCAATTAAAATTAATTTAAACCAAGACCTAAATTTGTCAACTTTGAGTTGTGCAATTTTTCTTAAAACATAGCTAAACTCACCAATCACATAGTTACCGAGACTAGACTACGAGGGACATCTATTGTCAGGCAAACAAAACAGTGATAATGTTCATTTGCTTAAAATTTCATCGATAGAGTAGGATGCTAAGTGTTGGCCTAATAACTTGATATGCTCGATGCTATTACGAGTTCACCTTACTCGGTAAATGGAACGAAGGTCAATGACACAGTGACACGATATGCTAATTCTAATCCGCTGTCCCCTGCCCTGCTAACTAGATCACGGAATCTTGATGAGTTGTACAGAATGTATTCGACAAGCACCTACAAAATACGAGGTCACTAAGCATACAAATCAAGCTTATTTATACAATGATAGAAACGCCCTTGGGAGAGCCACAAAATAGCGTACTAAAAAAACCCGTCAACCAATGACAGTCAAGGAATTCCGAGTGAGAAATGTAAGCTGTAGGTCAATTAAGCGTCTTTTGGAGCGAAAACATAAAATTCAAATTTTCAGAATAAAATAGCAAAATTAGGACCTTTTCTAAGTGAGTTCTGGGGATCTAACGTCCTCAGCATAACTTGAGCTAAGAATGTTAAAGAAAATAGCACATAGATTGTTGATGCGGTCATAAAGAGTATGTACATATCATTAACCCAGATGTGGGTAATCTATATCTAAGATCCTGACCGTGATTCATCAACAAATCCCATGCAGCCTGCAAAACCATTTAGAAATATGAAAAAATTGAGTAGAACTGAGGTTATTTTAAACTATTTTCAGGAAGAAAATTAATATAAACGTTTGAAATTAAACTCAATCCACCATCTGGGCAACGTGAAGGATTTCCCAACATTGGGTAAGACAAACGGTCTTACCAATATCTGCTCAGGGACGTAGTAACTGGATATCAGTGTATAAGAACAAGAAAAGGTTGCATGGCGTCTAAATGGCAGTTTAATTTGGTGACTCAGTCACTTTCTTTCGACATTGCTACAGTTAATAATAATCTTTAAAAGCAAATAATAGATATTCATGTTAACGACAACTTAAAGGAACGTCCCAAACATGCAAATTCGATTGAGTTCTGTTCGTCATGACAGGATAAACTGATAATGTAAATTGTATAGCACGTAAAGTGTTTGTTTTGTTGGGACTACTTACCCTTGTGGCAAACAAGCGTTTTTAATTTGTGACCTTCGATAATTTTAAATTTAAACGTCAACTAACGGATGCAAATCTCAAATACCAAATAGGTTAAACGAAGTGATTATTATTATAATGCATTAGTGGAAAAAACTTTGAACAGTTGTACTCACATCTATAAAGTAACACTGTTGAAACGATGGTTGTTAATGTAGAAGTGAATCTCTTTAACAAATATTACATATTTGTGACTGAATTAGTAGTATCTTACACACTGTATATGGTGACTTGATGTTGTGTGTTTCCCAAGAAACTTAACTAACTTCGGTTTAATTTTGTATGTGAATGCTATGAACGCTGTGGTGAAAAGTATCAAATCAGAACGAAGCAATCATTTAATGCTGCGTAGGGAGGGTAGTTATTTCAGACTACGGAGTTGACTTTATTCTACACTGATAACTTAAAATAGAAGTGGATTACTAATGTAAAACGCAAAGTCGCACTATGTTTAAGCTTTTATAGTTGTATATTTTTTTTAAATAATGTGAAGAACAATTCTTGAGGAAGGGATAAATATCTGTAAACTTGTAGGGCGTTTGCTTTTTGATGTTCATTGTCTGTACGGTATCAAGCATTTTCGAGCGTTCCTCTGTTTATTTAGTGGATGAGTGCTGTATTTAAGAGCATCAATTTTTTTACTTAGAATTTTATTTTAAATTAAACTTTTACTCTCCTTACGTTTCTCGAGCACGAAGTTGGGATGTATTACATTGGCGTGTCCATAAAAGACATTTATATAGTAATAGATGATTGAAATGAAATCACTCGTGAAAATTATGCTCTTATATGCAGAATTCAACCATTAAATGAACGAAAAAGTTTTTGAAAATTCGAAACATTGTACTTTTATTGAATCTTGAAGAATGTTTATCTTCACACCAGAACTTGACGGACAGTGATTTAAATTTTCAAGATAAAAAATGCTGTACTATAATACAGTTAAAAATAAACAATGCTTATTAGTAAAATATTGAGTCATATTAGTGAATATGAAACAAAATAATTTTTTTTTCATGAAAATCGTAATCAGTTTACTGACTTGTAAAGAAGTGAGTTTGTATGCTTGAAACATGTAATCTTGCCAATTTGATGTGAAGGAATCACAGACAATATAGCCAATAATCAATAGATATCCACTAAATGATAATAGAAATTCAGCATTATCAGTTTTTTCTTTTGAAAGTTGAGTTTGTTCAGGATTAGTGTAAAAAAACATAACCATACCTAAACAAATAATAGCTGAAATTGGTTTTTTAAGAAGAAAAGTAGAGGAAGAATAAAAGGTATTCAGATAAAATAGTAACACAATTAACAATTTTATAATATTACAGAATGATGCGTATGACATATTTCAACAATGTGATATAGTTCTATGAATTAATCTGTGACAAAACACAGAACGACAAGTGTTGGTACATAAAATTAATTGACTTTAAAATAATTTCTCTTATTAAATTCTAGGAAATTGTTCCCTATTTTTACATTAACAATTGAAGGTTGTAGAGAATTGAGCTGAAGAGAAGTTTTGCAATCGACAGTTAATTATCTACCGTTAGTGTAAATAAAATTGGGTTAAACGGGGTAAAATAACCGGACAAACTTAAAATCCATCAAGTAGACCATGATGGTACCAAAATATGATATCAATGCAACTCTATGTAGTTTCTAGTAAGCTACGAAAATTTTTAGTGTACAGTGCGAAATATTTACTCGAACTAAATGGGAGAAAATTAAGCCAATCAAATATTTTATTGAGATTACATCTATTTAAGTTCGAGAATTATTGGAAACTTGGGAGTATTGGACAGTCGTTTCATGATCCAACAATCTCTACAATCTTTTGACGATAATTGAAGTATTTATGTATGCTGTCAAGTTTTAACCTACTCAGATACTAATTCATTGGAATAAAATGGTGTCGTATCATTTGGTTAAGTTAATATGAGAGAACACAACTTATAGGATTTCAGCCGTGGATATATAAGTAATATGGTGTGTTCTTCTTATCCAGATACCACCAAAATATACAGATCAATTTTGATTAGATCAAAATTCAATATATACACATATTATAGATATCGTCTTACAGTTGCGAAATTGGCAAATTAACTAAATCCAGTGTACGATAATTGACTTATGTTATGCACATTCACTGAATAAGATTCTACATTGCCTATATCAGTGTATTATACGAAAACATTATATCGATAGGTTCATTTGTCGATAAACTGACGTGAATTCTTTAGGTAATACAAAGAAATAGCTATAATCTACCTAATTTTTACAAGTTGGTTCATTCATGAATACAGAACATTATTTATCGTAAGGTTATATACTAGAATCGACATATCATGAAAATATAATTAATAAACAACCACTTCGATAATTCACAACTAACGATAATACTATAACAGTTCAAAACAAAACTCAATCACTGGACACTTCCGACATGATCATATGAATAAAAAATAAGTCAACAGAAAAACCAATACTAAATATGAATAAACAATTACTTACCAGCTGTAAAATAATCTTGCCAACTATACAGTTTCTTTTGAATAAATCTACCCATAAACATTACTGGTAAAACCTTGCAAGCTTTGAGAATAACCTGAAATTTAAATGAAAATTAGAATTACGTATATTTGTAACTTCTAATAATCACTTAAAAATGAACTTAAAGTGAGTTTCTACAGTGATTAGTTGTTGTTTCTTTTCTTGATATAGTAACATTAAACTAAAGTAAACTGTATGTTGTAGGTATTACACGGAGTATTTACCGATTAAGCCACTAAACAAATAATTTTTCAAAATTAAATTATAATAAATTCATGAATGTGAGGTTTCCAGTCCTCATCAGTTAAATACCAAGGATGGTTACATCAATGACTCTACATGAACCGCTCATTATTTCAAATAACATCTGAATACTAAGAATGTAAAACACTTAATGACATTATCAAGTTATAAATGCAAAGATTATTATTAGGTAAACACAAAATCAAACCTTTAAATTAAGATTACACACAAATTATTTCGATATTTCCTTAGTGTAATAATTTTACTTCGGATTTAATTATATCATGTTGTATTAAACGAAAACACAAGTGGGGACAATCAAATGTATTTGAACACAAATTGCAGAACGTCTTAGTAAAATCTAAGAACTATACAGTAATTACTTTATTTGCGAAATGTCAATCAATCGTCTTATACTTCATTGTTCTTTCGTCTTCACATCAATCATTCTCTGTTCTCGTTCTCTTCGATCTTCTTAACCTTCTGCCGCCAGGCATTTCACTTCCGATTGATGATACATACTACTTATACCTGTCAACATCCGTAGCACACACCACAGTGTTACGTAATCTTTATTAAATTATGGGTTTGTGTGTAATTGTTTAATTTAAGGATGGTTTTAACCATACACTAAATTTAGCTAAATAACCATTGAAAAGTAAGGGGTATTTATTAAAATATTGATGTGCACTGCCGAGAATTCCCATACGACAATGAAGCAGGTATACAGAGCTTCCCTAGATTTCAATGGTTTGAATAAATTAAATCTGTTGTGTAATTGAAGTAAGTCTTCGTTTTTTTCTGATAACATACTACTGGCCAATATTCTTTGTGCATAATATATCTGGTTAGTGAATTATTATTTTTAATGGTGACGAGTTTGGGGTAAACAAGTTTTACTTCAGCTTTAAGTTCATTTATTTATCTAAATTTCAGTCAATTAAACATTATATGTGTTAGAGAAAGATAAGAAAGAAAACATTTGTTGTGGTTAAATAAGAATAATGGAACAAATCCCCGAAGTTAGGACTGGTATTATTTATCATGTCTAGGCTTCTATTACAGTTAATATTATTTCTTCGCTTTCTCTTGTCATTTAATTAAATATGTTGCTGTGCTGACGTGAGGACTTGGACCAGTAGACACTTGCGTCAGATTCAGTGTTGATTACGGTTGACTGATTAGCAACATGAGCTATGTCACGAATTACAAACGAGTCAGAAAAAGTTCAAGCTTTAGTGGAAATCGGTAGTTACGGTCAGGGTGCAGGTTAATAAAAAAATGACATTTTGAACAGACTTAATAAAGCATTAAGTTTTATACTGTTCATTTGATGCTGGGATTTTCACAAACGTCAGAAACAATTACTAACTGGATATGGTACCAAGTAAATGATACCTACTTTGTCAAAAACTTTGTCTTTTAAACCGTGACTTTTCATCAGTTTATCATCATTTCTAGAGACATAAAATTCCTTTTGAAAAGTCCCACCTTACTTGTAGTTTTCATCGCATTAGTATCATATCAAACTAGCTGTTCAATTTATTTAGCACCATTAGATCAGCCTTCATATCAGAATTATCTACCATCGTCCTTAATTGTGGATTTGAACAACATATATCACAACAATATTACAATAAAATTATTGTATTGTATCCATCATTGTTGAAACATCCCACATTGTTATAAATGTGTTCATCGATGAAATAAAGAAGGAATATTGTCAATTCCCAACAAAGAGATGCTGAATAGTAGGCCTAATCAGTGGTAGCAACTTTTTTTAATATTGGGTAGTAAAATACTTACCAATAACTCTCACTATTAGAGTAAACGAGTAGAGAGAATATTTATGTAAAAACTCGATACCCGAAAAGGAAACCCCATTTGAGCAATACAGAACGCAAGAATGTCACAAACAAAGGCTGACTGCCTAAGATATATAACTAAAAAAATCCAGCATCTATAACATGAGTCATTACCACAACAGAAAAAAAGTGCGAAACACACAACTGAAGCCAAATTCACCATAAGTTTTCATTGACAAAAAGTTAGTGTTTGAATAACTCACCTGACTAGGAAAGGAAATATAAATGAGGGCCTCATACTGACACCAGCTACTGATTACATTACTGAGAGATGCATATGCAAACTCAATAAAGGGAGCTTTTCGACCTTTTTTCCAAGGGTTAACAAGTAATCCCATATATAGAAAATGTAGAGGTATCAAAATAATTAATGCCATCGCACGATTACAGAAAACAAGATATTGTGGACTTTTAAACCTCTCATTGTCATACATTTTGGTCATGATTCTTTCCTGCAGAAAAGCAAATAGACTTTAACCTTGAGCAAAAAAACAATCAACTTTTACATAACGGAAAAGTCAACGAATTTTCCTGTTTAGATCATAAAAAACCATGATAACAATAATAATAATAATAATAATAATAATAATAATGTGTGCAATCTAGAAGTCATTCTTTTTTTTTCTATTTCTTATAAAATCTTTTTCTAAAAAACTTCAAAACCATAATACTACATTCAACAGTTAAAAATAACTACATAGTTATTTACTTGTCGGCACTTAACGATCCATTGTTTTTCCAAAGTTTAACCGGCATCACAACGTCATGAAGCATTTATAAAAAATCGAAAAAAGATCCCATAACTCCATTTTATGACTTGACCACCAGATATTATTTTTAAGAGGATGTAAAGGGATTTATTTGAAATAGATGCCAGAAGTGTATAAATGATTATCAGTAAGCTAAGTATTAGCACCACTCTATTCTACAAAAACACCCTACATATACTAAACGAAAACAGTATTGTGCAGTCAGATCCCTTGACAAATTTAAACACAGAAATAACAAAAAAGTCATCAGAGTAAAATGAATTCATTTTATCTCACGACCTCTCATCAACTGTACACAGCCTAAAATTACAATTACGAAAATAACTTTAAACAATTGTTTAACATTCTTCAGTTTGTAAAGTTTGGATGGATATTTAAAGTGGAACCGAAAATGCCATAATCAGGAGAAGAATAAGACATCAATTGAATGAATAAGCGTATTTAAGACTGATACATATTTATATGTTGGAAAGTGGTGGTGCAGAGTGTAGAATAGGTGAAGTAACAGTTACTAGAGGTCATGATGAAGATTAAAGAAGTTAAGTAAAAATAATGAAATTGATAATTGCTTACACAGTCATTCAAAATGATAAGAAACAAAATCAAACTAGTATGTGAACATACACAAAGTTGTGTGAAAGATCCCTGACTGTAGGGTTGTAGATTCACACAGATGTGTCCTATCCTGGGACGAAACGTCCGTCCGGTGCTTCCAGGTTTTGGATGGTTGTTTAACTTTGATCTTTTTGTGAGTTCATTTAAATTCAACAATCTCAACCCTAAGTTATCGATAGAGCGTTTTACCAAATTAATTGCAAGTGTTAGATATGTTTTATTTTTAAATCAGTCATCGTGTATTGTATTTGATATGTTGTGTCAACAGCTGTCTAGGGTGCACTCAATAATGTTTATTGTAAGCTTCTTTTTTTGTGTCTCACACTATTCTAAAGGTCAGTGCTTTTAGAACATTAGCGTATCTTAAGCTTTACTTAAGTAATTTAAATACTGGTAAAAAGTGTTTTACTTTAGTGCAGAAAAGTTATGGTGTTCTTTATCCGTCACTTATCATTCATTCTGTTTTGACTAGTAAAAACAGAATTACATTGATTTTACTTTCGCTGAAATCCAACCACGTAAGAAGACTAAAATTATATATTTCTGGTTGAGATCATGAACCGTTTGATGTAAGACCACCATTGGGAACCTGGAAGCACTGGACGGTCGTTTCGTCTTACTGTGGGTCTCACATCAATCGGTTCATAATCTTAATCAAAATCTAGTATATTAAATATTGTCACATGGGAAGGATTGTTTTGAAAAATCCCTATGTACTTACTACTTTTAAAAAGTAGTTTCCTATATTTTTGTTGGTATAATGATTTTATTATGATCATTTGTAATTAGTTGTATATAATTGACTACATTCCATAGATGAGAAGTTCAGTCTTTAAATTAATTTTCCAATATATTTGATAGAATCCAGTGTAAATTTAATTTGATCGTTTATCTCTTTTAGGTAAAAATTAAATAAATTATTACTTCAACATTTGGATGTGAAGATAAATGTAGCAACATATACCTCTTAGTTATTGATTACTATATGATGTTCACACTTATTAGTTTCACTTAACTATGGTACTCATCTATATCCAGATATGAAATTTTCTATTGATGTTCAACTACTTAAGTATGAAAAATAGTTTCGATTTTTATTTCATTTCGACTACCTATAATATACCGATACATTTCAAGATATTTAATTGTCCTAGAGAAACAACATTCTAAAATGATTTTAACTTGTGCCTAGTCCTATAATCAAAAATAAGTATCAGTACAATTGTGTATTCTTTATCAGAAATATCAAAAGAAATTAAACCTAACATAAAATGATTAGAAAATGAAATTTATTCTTAATCAAGTAATCAATAAGTAGCCCTGAAATGCCTGGTATGGCCGAGGGTGGGGAAAGCCAGCTCTCTTCCTCGAAATGCTCTCACATAACCACGGGTAAACAGCTACTATCAAGGAAATCCTAGTCACTGCTTTCTCATGGCGGGGGTGTTGTTTACGAAGTTGAGAGGACGAAATGCGAATGACCGGCGCTTTAACCGGGTTGATGGACACGGAGAATTCACCTAGGAGAGTTCGAAAACTCTAATTCCAAACCAATGGTGCACAGGGACTCCAGTATCCTGAAGGAACAAATGGCGTATGAACCTGTTGTTGGTCACTGGCTACCATGGGACTGCTTTTCCTGACGCTGCTCCACTGCCTTGTGGATGAGACCTTTAGGTCGAAGGCTCCGGGTGTGGCCCCTTAAGCCAACTACCTGTTTGGGTTTGAGCGTTCTGACAGTATTCTAGCCCTCACACAAACCAAGTGGTTTGTGTGCCGCATATGTATTAGGTGTCCCTTTTTACAGATATTTATATGTTCAAATAAATAAAATAAATAGCAAATAATACACATCCATGCAGTACTTCAATATAAGCGCTGATGAAAAGCCATGTCCTTAAGGCATATATGGATATATACTGGTTGGCAATCTTGCTATAAAAACGCTAACCGCTAAATATATATATAAATATATATATTAAGGACATGGCTGTTCACCAGTATCAAGTGATCTAAAAATCTTACTTGCAATACTCCCCATAGCAAGTAGGACGATTGTAAACCAAAAAAGCAAAATGCCAATAATATATAGTATTGTTTCGAAGTCCTGCTCGGTGTACTACGATTCAAATGTAGGTAGAAATCGATACGTTCCAAACATGTTGTCAGCTTTGAATGTAGTCCATATCGTGTTGTAGACATAACTATGGGGATTGGTAGATCTGCCTCATTCTGAGCATGTTCTATAGAATACACATCAGGTACGAAACATATGTACATTGCTTTTGCATGCCAAGAACCCGTGGTACCTGTGAAAAGTATGAAAATACAGAAAATTACTTGTTTACATGAATTTGAGAGACAAAACTTGTACTGCTAACAGATAAACAGATTTTAAATCCCATCTTAAACCCATCTTAAATATCGTTCGGAACAGATAAAATAGTTCTGGATTCAAAGTTAAACTTTTTAATCACTTTAGAGATTATGATGATGTACTGGCCAGTATGAACATACATTGACTATATTTGAAAAACCAACTGGAAAATAGGTTATTGAAAATGTCTTTAGCATGACCAGATTGTTTAAACTTAGCTCACCATTTAAAATTTCATATGTCAATTAGTTGACCCTGCATGTAGAACACAACGAGAAACTATAAAAATAATAATTAACTGAAGACCAAGATTGTAATTACTGATCTCGTAATCTGTATATTTACTAAATTGGAGTATATCTTCAGATTTGAGATTAGATAAATTAATACGATAGACATATTCACAATATTAAGTGTATTCAGCATTATATATATATATATATATAACTGTCCACGAGGGTATAATAAACCACGACAACTACAATCAACACTAGCAAATTCATAAGTTACTTTAAGTCAAGAAAAGTTACCGTTTGAAACGTGCAATATGTATCTGTTCCTGAAGTAGTTACTCAGCAAAACTAAAGGGATTATAACTGATGAATATAATGATAAAATTCCAAACAACTCCATAGACCATGAGAAATAACTGTATAGAGACGAAGACTCCTCCATAACTGAATACAAACTTCAAATAAAACGCTTCCTTGGGCAATGTATTTTATAAAATCTTCAGAAACTAAATTGTTGTGGGAAACAAAATAGTAGTTAGACATTTCAGTTTCATATTTACACAGTACTTTTAATTATTAAACACTTGTTACAGTTACTGATATATAAATAAGCACCCACGTTGAATATTGTTTCCAATTATTCAACATAGGGTGCATTAAACTGTGTCATTTAAAATACATTTGAGATAAGTGACTAAAATATATATCCTGTAAACTAAGCAGAAAATAAGTTGATAAATGTATGCTGGCAAACCAATAACCTTGTTTTTTAAGCGACAGTCAAAAATATAAAGACAGAACTTTACACAAAGTCACTCAATTTAACAAAAGTGAGATGAATCCCAAACAATGATACATTTTCGACATGAATATTCGAAATCCCTAAATCATATTGGTCCTCTGAATGAGATTTTATCAATCATATATTTGAGACCATTCAGGATATTGAATACCCCGTCAACTCATGAAGTCGGTATTCTTGGAGATCACTAGTGACAATGAGTTTTTCCTCATCCTTAGTTCAAGTGTTGACGCATGCCAGTCCTGGAGTAACAATTTACATTTGGAGGATGAGAAACGCATTCCAAATATCCTGGCATTATTACTCAGTTCTAATAGAAGACTCTGCATTTTGTCAGCGTTTTCACCGAACAGTACTATGTCATCTGCGTATTCTAAGTTGATAAGTGGACCTCCTGATAGAAGATCAATTTCTGAAAATTCAGTGGGTAGCAAATTTCGGCTGCCCTTCCACAATCACTACAGACCGCGGACGCCAATTCGAATCTGGAATTTTCCGTTGTCTGACCTCACTATTAGGAATCATGCGTTTCCGAACGACCGCCTACCACCCACAAGCAAACGGGTTGGTAGAACGTTTTCATCGACAACTAAAAGCTTCATTATCAGCTTCAAACGTTTCACAGTGGATAGACGCTCTTCCACTCGTCTTGCTAGGTATCCGCAATGCAGCGAAAGCTGACATTGGATACACGGCATCTCAACTCGTTTACGGAACGACACTCCGACTCCCAGGAGAATTCGTAGATCCTTCAGCTTCTTCATTGAACATGGATCTAAACTCTTACACGAGTAGGCTTACAAACGCTATGCGTTCAGTTAAACCTGCTCACACTCGACCTCAATCAACTGATGTTTTCGTTCAACCCGAATTACGACATAGTACACACGTCTTCGTTCGTCGAGACTCACATCGACGACATATTGAATCAGCATACGAAGGACCCTTCAAAGTTCTTCAACGCGAACCTAAGTACTATGTAGTCGATAAGAACGGTACGAAAGATAGCATCAGTATCGATCGACTCAAAGCTGCGTACTTAGAAGGAAACCCTAGCTACGTCGATTTTCCTTCGGTACAAGCAAACGACACAGCTACTACACTCGTAGTACCCTACACGACAACCGACACACAACTTGATACTTCGTCAACGTCGATAGAAAAAACTAAAACAACGCGTTCTGGAAGACGAGTAAGATTTCCAGAACATCTTAACGAATATTGCACGTAGGACATAAGCTTTATCTTGAATTACCCTTCCATAGTTCATTATAAAAAAATTTTTTAATGTGATAATTTTTTATTTAAATAAAAAAACCAAAAAAACATTTTTATCTTTTTTTGAGCGTATATATATATATTTTTTATATATAAAAAAACAAAAAATACACTTTTTTCCTGATCGCTTTTACGCTGTTGGTAAGTGTATTAGTTTATTTTTTTTTCTTTTCCGCTCATCTTGTGTCCCTACGCAAGTACGAGTGTACTTTCGACATGCACTCACACGTTTTATTTTTAATCTTTTCCAGGACGGCTGGAAAAGAACGACGAAGTTTCTCAAGGAACCGAAATTTTTATTGTACTTTATTTCTTTATTGCTATGTTGTACATTTTGATCCCTTAGTATAAGGAAAGACGACCATACGATGCTAAACGAAACAAGCTATCAGAAGAGTGTTTACCAACGACAAACTCGTTGGGTTTGAACTTCTGGCTGGTCACGTCTTAGGGGCATCACTACCTCACTAGGGGGGAGTGATCTGTAGCTGTAAATAATTCCCCAAAATCAATAGCTTTCTAAGTGTTCGACATTGGATGCCGACCACGTTGTTTAAGTGGATTTGTTCAACTGTAGGCTTTCGGTCATGCATCCGCACCAGATCACGTTGCAACACGGCGTGGGACACAGCTCGTATGTTACAATAGCCAGTTAAGAACGAAGTCTCTCGATATATTGGTAACGAATCAAATATATCTTTCCTGTCTCTCTTCGTCTGACTTCTGGTTTCTATTCGACTGGGAACGAACGATTATAGAGGATACTACTGGTTGCTAGTTGCAAAACTAGAATATCCGTTGTATCCTCAGGAGAAAGTTAGGGGTGGCCAAACCAAAACGTGACATCAGTGCTTGAAGTCACTAACTTCTAGTCTGTGCCATGTTTGTAGATGCAGACCACTTGGTTGGGGTTCTCACAAATATCGTAATCAGTGGTTGGAGATTGGGTGACATGGCTCAGAATCGATCACAACGGCGTAGGTGTATACACTCCCAGTCTTCCCTTAAAATATGCGATTAAAGTTGCTTCATTTCTTTCTTTCTCCCTGCACTATAACCGTATATACAGTCCTTCATTTATATATTACCACCATTAAATTACCTACTTCTATGAATTTAGTGTTCATTTCGTTGTGCTACTGAAGTTATAGCAACTTCGACCAATGCATATATGTGCCTGGTCCAACGTTGTAGCTGACTGACTGTTTTGACTACACATAACCAAGTGAGCAAAAAGACCAGTGGCATCATTTGTCTGTATTGATTTATCCACACAAGCATAAACATCTATATTGATAGAATCAAGGGTTACCCTAAACGGATAGATAAGAGCGTGTGTAAAAAACCTCAAAGATTGTATGTTCAAAAAACTGCTAAAAGATATACAACTAATCGTAAGAAACTTGAAGATGCAACGTTGGATCTCACCTACGTGACAGACGACTAAGATATGATAAAACTATCAATTCACAGGTGGATATTGAGACCATTATCTGAATGGAACATGACGACTATTGATGAGTGAGTATTACTGAGACATACTAGTATTTTATTCTAAGTAAAACAAAACATGTATTACATACGGGAGACTGGAAAATGCCAGATAACTTAATCACTACTTAAAAGATTCACTACTAAATTATGAGCCGCACGTTTTGGGAAGGTGGGAATCTACACTGATTGATGTTGTTCTAGCCAGTAAGCCTCTAATAGAGAATTAGATTATTATACACTGCAGATTACTAAATTTAGTTCTTTATTATGATTTATCCTATGGTCGCTGAATAATGAAGAAAATAAGCATCAAAGTCAGTTTGAGAACTCCTTGATTTCGTTAGCGGGTTGGGATCTTTTCGAAGGCAGTTGTAATCAACTATATTGTGAATTGGATAATGATAGACGGAACCAATATTCTCGATGGCACAACATATATCAACAACAGTGGGGATAAAAAGTTCTCAGATTGGGATGCAGAAATTGTTTCTTATGTTCGTACGCATGTACACATCATAATGTTAACGTGTAGTCAAGGGAACACTGACCAAATACGAAACCAAATTGTCGCCTTTTCCTAAGTGCGAGAATTCTGCCCAAAATTTTCCCGATGGGAAATACCTCAGAATTAACATTTTGTTGTCCCAAAAATGTCCGCCCTTCCCCAACATTGATACCATTGTTTTACGCTTTCGCTAAACTATTTTTCCGTAATATTAGCACGCAAAATTGTAAGCTTAACGCGAAAGTTGACAGACTGTCGTAGTGTATTATTAGGAGGCTGCCCCGTAATTACTAAAAAAATGTTGTCTGCGCACCCGACACAAATAAAAATAGTGATTTATATGGGAACAATCTTAGCATGGAGAGTTGTCAGTAATATTTACATCTACTGAAGGGTCATGGGCGCCTCCATATAGGAGCCCAAATATTTGAAACATGGGGGGAGACTAAAGTGTCTCATTGCAAAGTCTTTTCACGACTTCTTGAGGAAATATTAAGTTTGTCTCCAAGGTCTTTGGAAAATTTGCTTGGATCGATCCAGAGCATAAGGAATTCACAAATTTGAAAACTTCTAAGGATCAGAAGAGAAAGCTAAATAAGTAACAAACAAGTTACAAAGACAAAATAATACATCAAAGTGTGTTTTGACTTGAAAATACACAAAGTGCTAACCAAGAAAGTTTAACTACTGTAACGCGAAAAATCATAATGCGTTTTAGATGAGTAGGGAATTCCCATGCTCAATTAAACAGTAATAGGTAACTCAATTATAACATTAGGCATTTAATCTCTTAAAACGAATTGCGATATCAGATGATTATATGTCTAGATATCAAACATATTCGGATTGTTCAATTTCTCAACCTTTGGATAGTAATCCTGACGAGCATATGAGAAAATGTGTATATAATGGTTGTAGCTAATCTAGTAATAATTTAGGGGTAATCCCATATAACTGGACTCTCGATAATTTCGACGACACAAAGGTGCATTCTTCTTCAACGAATGAGTTATTCTCGTGTTATCTCATTGTTGTTCGTCTCAGACTCCGATTCAGATCAGATCCAGATTCCAGGATTGAGTACAGGAGGCAAATGGCATGTGTTCGTTTTCTTCCAGGGAGCTATGTGAGTGTTAAGTTTTCTCTTGAATGAGCAATTTAAATATGAGGACACCGCTTCTTATTAGGAGTCGACTACTCCATGGTAAAAGCTAAGTGTCTTGAAGATTTCTTTCGTTCCTAACTCTAGAACATGCTTGCTTTTTCTTCTGATTTGAAATCGTTCAAATGGTTGCGAACGCAGTGAGAGAAGTTACCTTTCTTCATGACGTTTGAATTTGAGTCATGTAACTGGTTTTGTGGC